ACCTGGACTTTCTGCTTTTTTTTTTTTCTTTCTTTCCTTCCCTTCCTTTCTCTATCCCTTCCCTTTTTCTCCTTTCCTTTCTTTCAGAAATGGTGTAGGGTGTCCTGCTTGGGCAGACGGGGGTTGGACTAGATGACCTACAAGGTCCCTTCCAACTCTGTTATTGTTTTTCTTCCTTCCTTCCTTCCTTCCTTCCTTCTTTCCTTCCCCCATCCTTTCCCTTTCTCTCCTTTCTTTCAGAAATGGTGTAGGATGTCCTGCTTCGGTGGTCGGGGGTTGAACTAGATGACCTACAAGGTCCCTTCCAACTCTGTTATTGTGTTCATTCTTTCTTTCTTTCTTTCTTTCTCTTTCTTTCTTTCGTCTTTCTTTTTTTGTAATTTTCTTCTTTTTAAAATAGAATTCCTTTACCTTTATTGTCATTGCATTCCACGAATACAATGAAATTTGAAAGCTACTCCAGCACAGGGGCCCCCAAACACCACATCACAATCATACTACAGAGTATTTAAAACAACAACAGCAATAATAATAATAGGAATGAAGCACTGTTTGATTCAAGACAATTATTGCCTTGGGAAAGAAACTGTTTCTCAGTCTATTAGTCCTCATTTTAAGACATCTATAACGCCTCCCTGATGGTAACAGCAAACATGAACATAAAACGACAAGAAAAAACCTTCTTTCAATTATACAGTGTGTCGGTTGGTACATGTTTCTTGTGCACAGAATCTATCAGTCTTTTCCTCTTATAATCAACTTTTATGGGATGATTACATCATTGTCAAGACTTTAATTTCAAATTCCACATTCTCCTTTTAGAGGCAAAGCCCAGTTCTTACTGACTCCAATTCATATTCTAACCCAATTCATATTCTAACCAATAAGCAATTATAACATCTCATTGCTATTGAGTTATATTTACTATTATATTATATTTTTGGCATACTGTGTAACTGTGTGGTATGCTGGATGCTCTGTAGTAGATAAGAAGATGCTCCAGAGAGTTTATAAACACAGCACAAAAAAAATCATCGGTTGCTAGAATAAGTGATATATGCGATATAAAATACTGATTAGAATGGTTATAAATATATACAAGTTAAATATGTGTGATAACATTACTTTATGCACGAAGAAATATGTACCCAGACCAGACTCCTCTCTAGAGCACTAAAAATCTCCACAGATCGTTCTCATCCTGGACATTCATATTTCGAATTGTTACCATCAGGGAGGCGTTATAGGTGTCTTAAAATGAGGACTAATAGACTGAGAAAGAGTTTCTTTCCCAAGGCAATAACTGTCCTGAATCAAACAAGGCATATGGTGATTTAGCCCTATGTATATAGTGGCATTTTTAAACGAACTTACTAAATGTTTTAGATAGGTTTTAGACTAGGTTTTTAATTATTATTTATTATTATTGTAATTATTTTAATTTTTAAATACTCTATAGTGTGATTGCGATGTGGTGTTTGGGGGGACCCTGTGCTGGAGTAGCTTTCAAATTTCATTGTATTCGTGGAATGCAATGACAATAAAGGTATTCTATTTCTATTCTATTATATTTTTATTATATCCAACCTTGGCAACTTTGAAGCCTGTGGACTTCAACTCCCACAATTCCCCATCCAAGCCATGCCTGGTTGTTGTTTTGTTTTTTCTTTTCCTTTCTCCTAACCACTAGAGTAGAGAGATTGCAGAGGAAGAGACCAGAAGAGAGGAAGGAAACTGCAAATAGAGATATAGATCACATGAAGTGTTGATACCACTGGCTGGGGAATTGTGGGAGTTGAAGTCCACGGGTCCTTTCCCCCCCCCCTTTTAAAAAAAATTAACAACAAACATAAACAAACACAAACACAAAACAACAAATAAAACCTTCTTTCAGTTGTGCAGTGTCGGTTGGTATATATTTCTTGCACACAATACCAACAGATCTTCCCCTCGAGAGTTGAAATTTATATTTGTATTATATTAATCAACTTTCCATGTCATATATGATTATTACATCATCATTAGACTTCAATTGCACATGCATTCTCCTTTTCGAGCCCACCTCAATTTTAACAGGTTCTAATTCATATTGTAATTCTATAATAATCAGAACAGATAGCTGCTATTGTATTATATTTACTATTGTATAATATTTATATTACAATATGCATATAATACAATAGTAAATATAACACAATAGCAACGATCTGTTATATTACATTTCATTTCCTTTTCCTCTTTTCCTATCTAGCCATGAATAAAAATAAATCCTATTTTATAATATTCTTTTTCGGCTTGCTTTATTTATATATATATATATGTTTTCGTGGGTACTTACGTGTATGGTATTCAGCTTTGTTCAGGTATTTTCCCATGTCATTGTAGTTGTGCTTTTAAAGTTGTAGCAACGTTTCGGCAGAATCTCATCTGCCATCATAAAGCTTCTCACAGACGAACACAGCACAGAAGCCTTTGGCATTTGCCAGAGAGCACCAAGATTGGCAAATTCGCCACTGGCGCCCTGTGCTCTTCACAGATGAAAGCAGGTTCACACTGAGCACATGTGACAGACGTGACAGGGTCTGGAGACGCCGTGGAGAACGTTCTGCTGCCTGCAACATCCTCCAGCATGACCGGTTTGGCAGTGGGTCAGTAATAGTGTGGGGTGGCATTTCTTTATGGGGCCGCACAGCCCTCCATGTGCTCGCCAGAGGTAGCCTGACTGCCATTAGGTACCGAGATGAGATCCTCAGACCCCTTGTGAGACCATATGCTGGTGCGCTTGGCCCTGGGTTCCTCCTAATGCAAGACAATGCTAGACCTCATGTGGCTGGAGTGTGTCAGCAGTTCCTGCAAGACGAAGGCATTGATGCTATGGACTGGCCCGCCCGTTCCCCAGACCTGAATCCAATTGGGCACATCTGGGACATCATGTCTCGCTCCATCCACCAAGGCCACGTTGTACCACAGACTGTCTAGGAGTTGGGGGATGCTTTAGTCCAGGTGTGGGAGGAGATCCCTCAGGAGACCATCCGCCACCTCATCAGGAGCATGTCCAGGTGTTGTAGGGAGGTCATACAGGCACGTGGAGGCCACACACACTACTGAGCCTCATTTTGACTTGCTTTAAGGACATTGCATCAAAGTTGGATCGGCCTGTAGTGCTTTTTTTCCACTTTAGTTTTGAGTGTAACTCCACATCCAGACCTCCATGGGTTGCTACATTTGATTTCCGTTGATAATTTTTGTGTGAGTTTGTTGTCAGCACATTCAACTATGTAATGAACAAAGTATTTAATGAGAATATTTCATTCATTCAGATCTAGGATGTCTTATTTTTGTGTTCCCTTTATTTTTTTGAGCAGTGTATATATATCTTATACATATATATATCTCTTACACATACACGTAAGATTGATTTTACATGGGAAAAGACCCGAACACATCAAGACCTGCATATATATATTCTAGAACATATATGTTCTAGGCGTGTTCGGGTCTTTTCCCGTGTAAGATTAAGAGTATCTTGGCGACGTTTCGGCGAGGTCCCACTCGCCATCCTCAGGCTGGTGCTTTCGGCTTCGTGCCAGTGCAAGCGGTGGTTGCACCAGCCTGAGGATGGCGAGTGGGACCTCGCCGAAATGTCGCCAAGATACTCTTAATCTTACACGGGAAAAGACCCGAACACGCCTACACCTATATACCTGTATCCGTGAAAATCTACATATATATATATATTTTCCGACGTCATTATAGTTGTGCTTTTAAAGTTGTAGCAACGTTTCGGCAGAATCTCATCTGCCATCATCAGGCTTCTGTATTGGGTTTGTCTGTGAGTCTCTCTCTCTCTCTCTCTATATATATATTTATTTATTTATTATTTTATTTTATTTTATTTATATTGCCGCCTATTCGCCCATGGCAACTCGAGGCAGCTTACACAATGTAAAACCATATTTAAAACAAAAAAATAAAAACAGTAAAAACTAACAAAGAGATTATTAATTGCTAATATTAATCAACTCATCTCATGCACATTCCATTCTTTTCTTTATCACCCTCCTCATCCTCCGTCGGAGTTTTGATTTTTTGTTTTTGTTCTTTTTTTTCATTTTTCCATTTGCGAGCAAATAGCAATTCTAGCTGCAAGTGAAAACGTGAACGATCCCACATGTCAATTCTCTGTTACATCCTTCAGGTTAACCAAAAAAAAAAAAAAAAAGCCGAATAAAAATATCTCTGGTTTTAGATTTATGTGCTGTTTTGTCATTATTATTTTTTTCTCCCAGCCACGTGTGGATTTATTTAGTCCGGTTATATATATATTTTTGGCTTCCAGACACATGTTCACCGCAGGTGATAAATATGATCCAGGTATTTCAAAACACTTTGCCGGTTTGTCCATGAACATCCTTGCTATTCTTGCCGGGGGTAGATGCCACCTTTGTTTTTGTTTTTTTTGTTTTTTGTTTGTTTGTTTTTCTTTTGAAGAATGTTTCGCTTCTCAGCTTCTTCGGTTCTGACTTGAACGGAAGGGAAGGACTTCTACTCCTGGCAGACAGCCGGTCATTTGCATCCTTTTCAAGAGAGCCGCTGAGGCCGCTTGGAGGTTGACCTCTATCCCTGGGGTTCCTGTAGCCTGCAATCGATTTCCCCTCTGGAAATCCCTTGCTACTCCTCCCATCACCACACCGAGGGGGGCTCAAGGGAGGACACAGCTCCAGCTCCAAGTGGCCTCAATGGCTCTCTAAAAAGGGATGCAAACGACCAGTTGTCCCCAAGGACCACCCTCCAGAGGGGGGGACACAAAAACCAAGGAAGTCCAGTTTGGCCTCCGGGGGGAGGGGGGGAATAAATAGTACCTTTGGGACAAGCAGATGAATGAGCCAGAACCGCCAGAGACATTCGTTCCAGAAGTCGCTTCCGGTGTTTTTAATGCTGGTCACTCCACTCACCTTAAGAGTGCCCGCCCCCCTGCCCCCGGGAGGGACTTCCTGGATCTGAAGTGGAGGAGAGAGAGGGAGAGAGAGGGAGAGAGAGGGAGGGAGGGAGAGAGAGAGGGAGGGAGAAAGGGGGAGGGAAGGAGGAAGGGAGGGAGAGGGAGGAATAGAGAGGAAGGGAGGGGGAGAGGGAGGGTGAGGGAGAGAGATAGAGGGAGAAAAGGAAGGTGAGGGAGACAGAGAAAGGGGGGAGGGAGGGAGAGAGAGAGG